TGGACCTCTGAGTCTTGTCCTCAGCAGAGTGTCCCTGGTCCTGGAGGTGTAGGTGGACCTCTGAGTCTTGTCCTGAAGAGCTGCTCTCCGGTGGGGAGCCACGCATCTGTTTGGAGGTTGTTTGGTTTCTCCAACATGGAGGTCTGAACCTTCCTCTGACCTGTAGACACCACACAGCTCAGTCTGGGTTTGGGGGTTCTTTGTCTGAGGGTCCTGTCAGATTTCAAATGTACCACATGTTGTACCACATGTTGTGTTTGGAGAAAACCCTTCCGAGTCTTTCAGGTTCTGGTGGAATGACAATGTTTTGTTTGTTCTCCCCGCTCTGTTCTGTGGCACGGTTTCTACATTTCCTCAGAGTTGCTGACTTGACAAAAGCCTAGTTTAGGACATCACAGGTTCAGAGAACATTTTTGATGTAACTTTTTATTTTCCTTACAGCCTTCTGGGTGCAGGGATTCAGTCTTCCCTGAAAGAAGTTCTCTAAATGAGCGCACACGTTCTAAAACCTGTATTTTTTGCCCATGCTACCGGCGCTGATGCACTCCCATACCATCAGCGAGGCAGGCTCATCCTCCTCTTTACTCCAGAGGATGTAGCATCACGGTTTCCAAACAGAGTTTGAAGTTTTGATTCATATGACCCCAGAACTGGGTTCCACCGTCCACATCGTTCTTGTCCTTTTCACACAGACGTTGTACCAGATTCTTAAAACATTTTCATTTGTATTTTACTGCAGTTGATGGTTTGTTTTTAGTTTTTGTATCACTTTAGACACTGCAGACCGAGCGTCTGCTCATCTTCACGTGGAAGAGATTCAGCCTCTCTGAAAGCTCTTTTTACGCCCAGTTCTTTTCACCAGTTAACCTAATTAGCTGCACCACTCACTTTTACAGTCTCTTTGTAGCCCCTGCTCCATTTTTATTACGTGTCGCTGCCATGAAAGTTTTATTTTATTTATTTTTAACAAAAAAAAAGGTAGATATTTAATTTGTTTACTATGTTCCTGTGAACAAATTGGATTATTAAAATTTATTCATGGGTTTTTATTTACACAATATCCCACTTTTGGGGGAGTGGTGGCGCAGAGGTTAGAGAAGGTGGGCCTGTAAATGGTAAATGGTAAATGGACTGTACTTATACAGCGCCTTTCTGTCTTATCGAGATACTCAAAGCTCTTTACAACAATCTGTGCCTCATTCACCCATTCATACAGCTCTATACTAGATCTCTACAAAGATAATTGAACAAATCATTCTAAAGAGACTAATCAGAGCTTTGTCACATTCAGACACTGATGGGACACACATCAGAGGCAACGAGGGGTTCAGTGTCTTGCCCAGGGACACTTCGACATGTGACTGCTGGTGGATTTGAACCCCCAACTCTTGCATTGGAGGACGATTGCTCTAACCACTCAGCCACAGCCGCCCATTGGAAGGCCTGTGATTGGAAGGTCACCGGTTCAACTCCCCAGACTGACATCAAAAAATGTGAGTGGGAAAGGTAAAGCACCCACACCCTCTCCACCATAATTTGCTCCACTCTGTGCCCTTGAGCAATGCCCTCAACCACCACTATCTGCTCCCCCGGGCACTCTAGATAGCAGCTCTCTGCTCCAGCTGTGGTAGCTCGGTGGTCTGTGGTTGTGTCAGGAAGGACATCCGGCGTAAAACTAATTGTCAAGTCTTCATGTGAGATAGTTCGCTGTGGCGACCCCTGAAGAAGGGAGCAGCAGAAAGAAGAAGAAGAAAAAAAACAATGTCCCAACTTACTGGGCTGTAAAAAAAAAGATTCCTTCAAATAAAAAACGATGGAAAAAGTTTAAGCTGCTCCTCCATCAGAGTTAAACTGAAGTCTAAAAGTGGCACCAACTCCAGCTGGAGACCAGCACTGTAAAGAAACTACAGGATGTCATCAGCATACGTGAAGACAGTGATCAGTACGAACACTCTTAAACTTGTTTAGTTGATGAAAATCATCTTGCATTAAACCATCTTAAACCAGAACATAAGATTAACAACCAGTGAAGCCTCATCCGAAACAAGATGCAGCTACCACCTGCTTAACTGGGACAACTGGATCAAACATAAAGAAAGTACTGAGTCATTACGAGCAGCACTGACTCAGCACGGGCCGTCAGCGACAGCCAGAGGGGAGCAAAAATGTTTGTGCATGTTTGTTACCAAAACATCTCGGTGTTTGAATTTTAACCAAACTTGCAGAAAACAATCAATGGAAGTGCGTTTACAACTGGTTAATGTCAACCACATTCAAGATGGCTGCCACAGCCAACTGACCTTAACACACACTATGGATATCGAGCTAAAGTTAGGTGTGGTAGTAGCTGAGACTGACCCCCAGCACATATTCTGACTGCTAACAGCTTTCACATGATCTTTAGTATCAAGGCTGTCTGTCTGTTAGCAAAATACCTCATGAACCACTGGACGAACTTTCAGAAAACAACGTAACAACTGTGGACATGACCCAATTCAAGATGGCCACCACAGCAAACTGACTTTAGAAAATACACAAATAACTCCAGGAAACTAAACTCTGAAGTGGTAGTAGCTGAGACTCATTCACGAAACAGACACGTGGCAAGCACTAAAAACTTTAGCATTAATGCTGTCAACCATATTTGGCTGTTGGCAAAATTTCTCATGAATCACAGGCCAGATTTGATTGACACTTGTCTGAAGTAATCCCTGGAGGTACATCTACAAGCCATTAGCTTCAGGAGACCATTCAAGATGGCTGCCACAGCCAATCAATGTGAATGGCTAGAACTCTGTCGAACTTGCACATTTAAAGTTTAAAGTTGATGTGGTGGTAGCTGTTCACAACAACTACTGAGGGATATTTTCAAAATGTGACCAAATCAGCAAAGATTAGTGAAATTCTGAGCAGTGGACCTTAATTTACTTAATTTACAGTTTTTATTTGAGTTTAGAAGCGGACCAGCTTCAATCTTCTCCCAAAATTACATTCACGAACAGAACAATTGATAACGACTATGATAATATGATGTACATTGTGTGCATGTAAGACTTTAGTAAATGATGTGCAGTAGATCGACACCGCCTCATGCTTGGCACACATGAAGCGGTTTGTGCAGACACACCTGAGCCGACCTTACCTGTGACGTTCTTTAATTTCAGCAGCCCTCTCCGCTTCTTGTGCTTCTCACCGCCGGCTAGTTCCTCTGCGCTTGCTTCACTTTTTTTCCGAATGAATTTAAATATGTCGAGCTGTGCCTGGCCACGCCACATGGGCTGACAGCCTCTTCTCAGCTCGGTCCAATGGGAGGAGAGGTTCGGCTCCCGGGCCCAGCCACTGATGGAGTCATTCGTCAGACGCCCTCGGAGACAAAGAGAGAGAGGAGGAAAAGTACCAGTTCACTCGGGTTCAAACCCGTTCTTCTGGTCCTTCCTGGGTCCGACAGTTTCTGCTCATCCTAACGACGACAAACAACTTTATGTACGACACGTCTGACGAGAAACTGATTAAAAATTAGGATTTGAATTCATAAACGCGCACATTTTGGAAACTAACATTTAATATCGTCACTTACCTTAATAAAATTACCCGAATGCCTCACTTTTAACGGCTTGATATGACAATTTTCTAAATTATAAATATATTTAAATTTATTGTATATATATATATATATATATATGTGTAAACATATTTTGAAAGTGGATAAATATATATATAAATTAAATATGATTTCAATTTCTATACAAGTTTTGTCGCACAATGACGTCAACAGTAAAGCATTGTGACTGACTTGTACACTAACCAATCAGAGAGCAGAGTTCTCAAGCTTCAGCCAATCACAATAGAGAGGTGTACAGTATCCTGAGATAAGGCGATTAGAAGGCGTGGCGCAAATATGACGTCAGCCGGAGCGCTCGTGTGACATCCCTGGGTTACTACAGTTCATTATCTCAGATGGGTTTTGTCAGAACGCCTTTACCGCCGTATTGAGGCAATACAAAGATAAAAGCGCAGTGAACTCGGTTAAAATCAATAGTAGATAGACAGATGTGTGCTTTTGGCTAAAATTATTTGGGACAAGTTATTTCAATACTTACAGTTAAAGAATGGCCAGCTTTTTTGTCTCTCTGTTCATAAAACTAAATTTTATACCGTGTGGCAATTAATTTTGTTTTGATGCTTATAAGTACAAAAATAACATGTTTATTGAGAAGTTTCTTTTGTTGCTGCTGTCAGACGTTTGTATTTTGCCATGTACAGTATAGTTCTTTTGAACATACATGTTTATGTTCATTCATGTGCATTCATGTTCTTTTTGAACAGGTAAAATCATGAAGGAATGAAGTGTCTATGTTGAAAAAGCTGATTTTTTGGGCACATATGACTTACACAACATTAATGATCCTGTGACATACAGAATGACACCGTGTCGTTTGAGCGTCACGTGATCATTGTGTGTCTGCTGGACACAGGGAGGGATCGGTGCAGGTCTGGCGGTGTTGAGGACTCTGTGTCAGTCGGTTGTGATGAAGAGAGAGCTGAGCATGGACAAGCTCTCTGTTTACCAGTCAGTCCAAGTTCTTACCCTCACCTATGGTCACAAACCTTGGTTAGTAACAAAAGAATAAGATTACAGATACAGACGGTCAAAGTGAGTTTTCTCTGCAGGATAGCTGGAGTCTCCCTTAAAGACGGAGTGAGGAGTTCAGTTATCTGGGAGAGACTCAGAGCAGAGCTGCTGCTCCTCCACATCAAAAGGAACCAGTTGAGGTGTTCGGGCATCTGGTAAGGACGCCTCGTGGACGCCTCGTGGACGCCTCGGTCCTCCGGGCATGTCTAACTGGGAGGAGACACCGGAGAAGCTCCAGGCTAGCCTGGGAACACCTTGGAGTTCTTCCAGAAGAAGGGGAGTGGTGGCACAGAGGCTAGAGAGGGTGGGCCTGTGATCAGTGGGTCACCCGTCAACTCCCCGGACCGACAACATCAAAATGTGGGTGGAAAAGGTGAAACACCCACATCTGTCTCCATCCTCATTTGCCCCACCCAGGGCCCATGAGAAAGGCCCTTAAAGCCCCCCCCCAACACACAGCTGCTCCCCGTGCACCCTAGATTGCAGCCCTCTGCTTTACGTGTGCGTGTGTGTGTGTGTGTGTGTGTGTGTGTGTGCTCATTCTGCAAAAATGCTGAGGATTAATTTCCCCACTGGAGATTAACAGAGTACCATAATAAAACAGAGCTAGAAGAGGTGGCAGTGGAAAAATGTGTGGAGCTCCCTGCCTACACTGCTGTTCTGATGGAAGGTTCTGGTTCTGCTGGAGGTTTCTGGTTCTGCTGGAGGTTTCTTCCTGTTAAAAGGAGTTTTCCTTTCCACTGTCTCCACTGTGCTTGCTCAGGATGGGAGACTGCAACGAAGCCAAGATTCAACTTGTCTGCTGGATTCTTCAGATAGAGAACTTTACTAACTGGCTTTTATGTGAATGTTCCTGTAAAGTCCCTGAGACAACTTTGTTGTGATCTGGTGCTTTATAAATAAACTGAGTTGAATTGAATTGCTGTTCCCCACGACTCCAGAACATGTTGAAGATCATGGAAGAAGAGATGGATGAGCAGAGGAGGCATGAGTCAACGATAGGAATAACAAGTATTAATAAAAAATATTATTGTAGTACATATTACAGAAAGGTTTTCTACAGTCTCGGTTTCTTAAAGTTACAGTTGCTCTGCACTAAACAGATTTTTCAGCATCTCAAGATGATTTGATGTGTTCAGGCGAAATGGATAAAAACCCATGAATGTTGTCAGGGGAATTTAGGTGAAGATTGTGGATGTTTATCACTAACTAATGTTAAATTAATGCTGAATCATGTGTGTGCGGTGTGTGAGGTCAGAGAGTGTTTTGTGTGCTCCGAGAGAGGAGCCTGCAGGCGCACCTAATAACTCCAAGGCCTTCTCCAGCCGAGGTCGTCTTGACCTCACCTCTGTCTGATAAGCAGGTATTATAAAACACTTCCTGCATCACTGTCCGGCGCAGATTCTCACAGACAAGGCTCCAAACATGGAACTTTTGTGAAAGCCCGTGTGAGCTCTGCCCTCGCAAGTGTTGAAAAATCTTCTCCTGTCGTCGTGTGTGAGTTCCTTTATTTAAGTAGCGAGTGAAATGATGTTTATTTATCCAACAAATGTCTCAGAAACAACGAGGTAAGGGACTTTTATTTCTGTTTTATTTCTTTTCCCACCATGGACCAGTGTTTTTCTGTTTCTGCTTTTCAGGGAAACAAGATTTGAGTGTGCAGAAAACGATCCTGTCCGGCTGCATTCTGACGCCTGTGAACTGCCCTCTGTACCGATGCAAATCTGCAGTTCTGACGCAAGTTGGCACCGTCGTTTGATAAATACCTGTGATAAAACCAGCTGTTCTCTAAAAGCCTCTGCTCATTGTCCTCAGCCAGCTGTCTTCTAACCGTGGCAAGGAACTGTCTCAATACCACGACATTTTGTGTTCAGTGTTTTACTTGATTAAAATCATTGAGCAGGCTTTCTGCTGTCTTACTCTTATAAATGGATGCAGGAGAAGTAGTAAGGACATTATAAAACATGGAGGATCTTTTGTGGAACTATCAGCAGTGCCACACAAGTAGGACAGATTTAGGAGATGACATAGAAAACTAATTTTTAGAACAAATGTTTGAAGCATGTCAAAGCTTCTGCCCCAAAGTCCAACATAACTTTGTAAATAATTAAGATATGATTTAACAAAAGCCATTTTTGCAGACGCAGGAGAACCAAGATAAAAAGAAACATTAAAGCTGCTGCCAGTGGCTCATTGTGGTCACCACGGTAACCGCACACACATCTGTCACTCCCTGACTGCCCTGTTACTGAGAAGCAGACAACAGACTGAAAAATTAGCCTCAAACAAACAGCTGCTGTGTTTTTCCTTTACATCAGATCTTTATAAAGAGTGGATAGTGAGCTGCAGAAGACTCCGGTGGCCACTCGTGGAATATTTTATATTTTTACAGCGAGAGTGGGAGTAACAATAGTTTGTTTTTTGGGTTTTTTTTACAAAAGTTTAAAAACATTTAGTCAATTTAAAAGTATATCAAGTTATATCAAGTTGCACACTGTGAAAAAAATCGGTCAAAATCATCAGATTTTAACTGGGATTGTGTAAACGATATCACGATGCCAGTTCAGACGAGCAAAGTCCAACTTTCTGTGACCCGTTTAAACTGAATGATGTTTCTACTATGAGTTACAGTCACATCTTATTTGAGCTCAGAGCTCAGAGCTGGGGTTTCTCACATGTTTCAGCAAAATCCCATTGAGCTCCATGATTTTTTAGCAATATTTTGTGAATTTATTTGATTTTGTGCAAAGTACCACTACCAAAAGTAATGGCATGCCATTTACGATTGCGCTGCATATTTTGGTTTTTAGTTGTCCCGTTTAATTTTAAAGCTGCATGACAAAATACAGGACAAACTTTTTAAACATTAGAGTGAAAAGGGTGCTTCAACGAAGAGAAACAACAAATCCAGTTCTGGAAATCAACAAAGAAGCAGTAGCTGCAGTTTTCTTTACAACCGAAGCTGTCAGAAAATTATGGGTTTGAGAACAACACTCCTCAAGGAAGCATTGTTAGTCCAACATTTTTCTAAATATATTATGAATAATTTATTTGAAATATGTCTTTATGGATTTTTGCTGCTGCTGCTGATGATGACGATGAAGAAGAGAGGAGGGAATGTAGAGCATAGAGTTAAGAAGATTCAAGTGGTGTTAAGCAAAGCAGAGACATGAAGGACACTGAATTTAGATTCTTGGTGGAACACCCCCACCCCCACCACCACCCATGTCTTTTATATAAAAAGTTTATGCACTTCAAAAATTGATTCAGAAGAAATTCTATTGTTTCATTTAAAAACCTGATTATTAATTATTAGATATAGGCATTAACACAGAACATCCTGAAAGCATTTTGGGACAAAGAACAAAAACTTTGAGAAGAGTAATTAATTTATTCATCTATTTTATTCAGCTGGCCTATGGGACCAGTTAGGACTTTCAGAGGTGTTCATATAGACATAGAAATATTAATCCATCCACACATTTACTTTCTTTATCTGTTTTTTCATGGAGGGCACAGGAAAGCTGGTGCCTTTGTCCAGCAGTCTTTGAGCAAGAGCAGACTTTCAACACTTGCTCTTGTCAAGGACGGACACATTTTCCCCTCCTCTCCCTCTCCGCTTTGCTTTGCTTTGCTCTGCTCTGTCCTGTTTGTGAAACTGCTTTAGAGCCTCTCTTATATACATATTTTCCTAATCGTAATTCTGCTATGGATTTGGTCAGTTGGTTCCTCAGCACAATTGATAACATTTCTTAGAGGAGAAGACAGGCTTT